CAACAAAGAATAATCAGCACATTCCTGCAACAAAGCAGTGCCCCTTGTAAGGGCGGAGAAGAAATCAAGGACTGATTATACTTGCTTACTGAAGCTTGTTCAATCACGAAATAAGATTGTTTAGCTCTTCGCAGAGCTGATCAGACGACAGACTGGCTACCGATATTTATAACAACAACAATAACTGGCTAACGAAACATCGTTAGAAGCCTACTTTACTCTTGCATAATACATAATCTAACTGACTGATTATTGATACAAAAAACCATTTGTAAATTGAGTTCAGTTTAACACCCTTTAACACATTCAAAACCTTTAAAACCTTTAATGTTCTAAATATTAGCTGGTAGGATTGATCAGATCCCCTACCAACTAACCGGCTAGGCCTAGATGAACGATTAATAAAGTGGTGAAATGTGGCCCACACACGATGCAGATGCAACAGGAGAACATTAAATCGGTACAGCCCATATCGTTCTTGAAAGTCATTAATTCGCTGAACTCGGATAATTGTGAGACTTGTCTGAGATTAGACGTTATGATTACGAAGGAATTATCGCTTATTCTTTGATGCTGTCATGCTTCACAATCTAACCCAGCTTTGATGCGGTAAAAAGCATTTAGTACATAGGTATCAATTACATCATTAATGATTATTTTCCAATTACAGCTCTGATCATAAGATTATGAGGATTTCTCTGCATTCCAACTGACTCACCAGTCAAATTAATCCTCCTATTCTGAAATTAAAAACCTCCTCCATTATACTAAATAAAAAGCCTGCTCTCTGGATTTAATATATTATGTCCTCTTTCAAAAAGTGCCACTCCATATGAATAGTCCTAGATGTCAGCTCTTTAATCCTAGATGTCCGTCTAAGAAAGACAGACAATAGACATATACCCTCTTAATAGACAACAATACACTCATGAGTTGGTTAAGGTGCATGCTTCCAATTCATTTGAAAAACACATACTAAGTAACGGGGGGGGGGGGGGGGGGGGGGGGTCATGAGTAAAATGGCTAAATTCTCATTATCAAAAATTATTTTTGAGTATTTTTGAGAAAAGTTTTCTGGGGCTCAGGCGAAAAACTCATTCTCAAATTTTGAGTATTTTTTCATCTCAATTCGATCACATTGCACTGATATGAAGAATGATTTGGTTTATCACTATTTTTGAGATTTTCAAAAATAATTTTTGAGTATTCCCGGCGAAAATGGTCAAATTCTCAGATTCAAAAATGGTCAAAAATACTCATGACCCCGCCCCCCCCCCCCCCCCTGTACTTGAGAATATTTTCTAAATCTTTCAACAATTTCAATGAAATTGAGGAAGTAATGAAACGACCGTTACATGCACTATGCAGACTAAACATCATCAAACTATATGAGCATACATTCTAATTTTAGAATGAATGTTTCACGCACTGGTAGGATGGTATGATAAAGGCTGATAGGGGTCCTGTATACTATAAATAATAATATAGGATCGATTTTTTCAATCGGAACTCTATTTTTGAGGTTGGACGGAAAGGGTTGAAAAAATGGACGAAATGCACAAAATAATTGATAATATATTATCAGCTTCCACTAGATTTAAATGAACATTTTCATGTCCGACAGAATGTATCAGTATACTTGCACTAGTAGTTGAACGAACGTTTTTAGGTAACGATGAGATCGGTTTGATGTTATCATTTTTATGAAATTAATTCTTTCCTTTTGACCATTCTAGGGGGGCATTCGAGGCAGTATAATACTATGCAACTGAAATAAATCTAGAGCTTTAAAATAGGTTACGTAAAAAAGCTAAATGTGTGCTTGCCAGTATAATATGTGCAAAAAGATGAACATTTCGACGGAAATAAGTAGCACACCACTTGAGAAATGAGATGAAGATGTTATTTGAATAGTATACTAGTATCGCGTGATCATAATGAGATACTAGACTCTAGAGTCGTTCCATATGAAGCTCAGTGTTTTGGTGGCTGCTAACCATATTTATTTTGATTTTATCCGTGTTATTGTCTATCTGTTTTAAAGCATCAGAGTGGAACTTCTTGAAGATACTTTAACTTTACTTCTTGAAGTAAGAGATACTTTAACTTTACTTAAGTAATGATAAGTGTCTATTATAATAAACAGTGGGACCGTTCAGATCTTATAATTACAAAAGTTACGTGACATCGCATAACGTCATGCAATTTTATTGGTGTATTATAATAAAGAATGGTAGTGAAAAATCTTACCGAAGTAGCATCACACAAGCAAAATGTTTTTTAAACAGTCAAACAGGGAAGTTCAAGTAAACGGTGAGTGCTGCCTAGAGATCTGGAATGAAATATGAAACGATAAATAAAGTAAACAAATGAGAAATAACCATGATGCTGTTTATCTTTCCTTGATTCACCCTAATTACCTAATGACGTCACCTAATAGGATTAAGGTACATTGAATTGTTGCTACTTCCGGAGATAGATTGACTTCAGACTAAGATCCCTGTCGTAAAATAAGCGTATCATTTCCGAAAAGTGAGGTCGGAAACGAAGCAACACAGTAAATAGCACTGCAGTAAATGTCCAAGTGGCTTGAAGTCTGAACCCTTGACATGTACAGTTTTAGCACTGCAGTAAATGTCCAAGTGGCCTGAAGTCTAAACCCTTGACATGTATAGCTTTTCGTCACTTTTCATCATCAAGCAATGTTACTGCTTTGATCCTTACATGACTACATTTTATTGTGAACGAGACACAAGGGGCGGTCGACACAAGAACGGAGGACACAACGCCGTAGAACACAAGGGCGGTACTTTCCTAAAAGGGTGGACACGAGGGCGGTACTTTCCTAAAAGGATGGACACGAGGGCGGATCACATGATACCCGAATCACATGATACCCGCTTTAACATGGACAGTGGACACGAGAGCGGAACAAAACACCGTCCTAAATGATGAGCTAGTCATAAAATTGTAACATCGCACAATATGATTTTAACGTTTGTTTATAAGCGTCAACCTACTTTTACACGTTTTATACACGTAAATTAATGTCTTTTAGCTGTTAACATATAGCCATATTAAACAATATAATTAAATCTGTAAAGACTTTACTAGCAAAACATAGGATTACAATTCACATGGGTTTTTACTTTTTAATGTTCTCATCAGAGAACGTCACGATCGATAATATTCTGGAATCTGATCAACTTGGCTATTGGCTAAGCATGCCGTTTTTTAATTCACTATGTCAATAAATCCCCGATTTACCGAAAATCCCAATTTACCGCAGCTGTTTCCTTTCGGATTTTACTAATTCGGTAATTCGAATTTTATTAATACTGTTACTAGTTTTAGTGCATCAAAAAATCGAACTCAAAAGAATGTTAGTTTGCAATTGAAACATCGTTTTTATTTAACACGCCTAAGAACTGAACAGTAATGTTAAGCGTAATAATGCCAGCAGTTTATCATTAAAACATAGCTGAATTATTAATTTTGTTTAAATAATATTCTTGCATTTTATACGACTGGAAGTTGATATGTTAATGATCGCTCTCATTTGTCAGAAAATTGTGGCTCTTCTTCCCACTAATAATCAATCAATTTTGAACATATTAAATTTAATGAAAAATTCGTAGAAATAGTGGTAGGCGAACTGAACTTGTTTCTACATGTGCGATTGATCGGTGGATTTGATTAGTCGCTGCTGGAAGCTGATTCTGATGCTGATTTGTAAATGTTCATTATAATCAGAGGCAACATATAAGTGCGGTGGGTGCACTATTGACCTTAAATACCACAATTTTCCGCACGATCGGCCGATATAGTCCATAATGATTAGGGTCAAACGTTTTTTTATGACGAAACATCAAAAACATCTGAAACAGTGAAAGCAGTATTAATGACATTCTCACTTTTCAGAACTAAGTGCCTAATATAATTAAGATAGAACATCTAAACAGTTTTATTCCTGTTCCATATGATCGAGGATAGTCAGGGCTACAAAACCTGACCAAGTTTAGCTCAATCCAGTACTGCGCGTTCAAGATATGAGGTTAAATATACCAAAAATAGAGGTTTTCTGGTGTGACATCATTGTAAATTATTCGGAGTATAACCTCAATATCTCACAAACTATACATTTGTGGTCTTTCTGAGTTACACTATCTGTTTCCTTTGGCAATTTCGGTTCAGAGTCAATTAAGTTTGAAACAAAATCTCAGTATATGTGAAAGGACTGAGGATATCAAGTTTGTAAAAGCGCGCGCGCGCGCGCGCGCACACACATATAATGACCTCATATCTTCCACATTTAACGATTTTTTATAGAAATTCTTTCACCATCCTGTAGCACTCATGTGCTGAGTAGGATAGCATTCAAATCATGTCTTTAAAAGATTTAGATAGATACTGAGGGAGAAAATTCATGTTTGTAAAAGCGCGCGCGCGCGCGCATGGCCCAGACTATATCAATGGACGGCCACGGGAGGAGGCATCATGTAGCCGGTGGGCCCGACATGATACGACACACCTCGACACGTCGGGGTTTTGTCGGGGTTTGTCGGGGTTTGTCGGGGTTTGTCGGGTTTGTCGGGGTGTGTCGGGGTTTGTCGGGGTGCGTCGGGGTTTGTCGGGGTTTGTCGGGGTTTGTCAGGGTTTGTCAGGGTTTATCGGGATTCGTTAATAATGGATGAAAAGTGATTGGAAGTTGCCTAAAGAAGATTGATCAATGGCAGTATAATGGCGCAGGAGGGTCAACCTGAAAAAAACAGTGCTTGACCCTCCTGCCCCACACATGGATCAGGATTCAGGAGGCTCATTTCAGAAAAAGAGTGCTTGACCCTCCTGCCCCGCACATTGATTACAGGGGTCATTTGAAGCCACAAGACCATGTGTACGTATCACTACAGCGGGCGATAAGTACGCGAGTGATTACATAAAATCTTACCGCGCCCTACGCCAAGTAGACGAAAAAGCGTGGACGAAGAGCGAGAGTTGGTACAATGTGGCTGTTCTAACCAATCTTTCCCCTATAGCAAGATCACCCTGAACTCTACTGTGGTGAGTAGAGTGTTACACTTTGTAACTGTGCTTAGCTTTTCCTAATATAGCTTTCAGTTAATCTTTCTAGTAAGATAGGAACTGTTATTGATATTTCTAATTGCATTTATTCTATAATGTATTACATTACAAATTATATATGTTTTCAGATAGATACCAACCAGCGTGTTTCATTGCACATAACAGAGCAATAAACAGTGGTAGCAGCAAGCGCAAGCTCAAACTACAACGACGTCAACTAAAACTCAAACTACATCAACTACAACTACGTCAACTACTGTGAGGATGTCAAAGGACACACCATCATTTGATGGGACTGGTTATAAACGGTACCGCCAGCTTGCTAAGATATGGGCAACTGTATCAACGGTATCAGAAGAACACAAAGCAATGACGCTGATCATGTTTCTCAAAGACAAAGCATTAGACATTGCTCTAACCATAGATGAAGCACTTCTTAAGACCAAGAAGGCTGATGCTGACCCACCTGAGACTAAAGTCGGTGTTGAGCTACTTATAGCCAAGTTAGATGAGATTTACCTAGAGAGTGATGATACTCTTGGCAAATATGAAAGATTTGAAAACTAAAGAAGAAACTCAGAACAGAGAATGACTGAATTTATCCTGATATTCGAGAGTCTAGAACGAGAACTGAAGACAGAAGGAGTGACACTTCCTGAACTAGTGCTGGCCTATAAATTACTAAAAGCTGCCAATCTGTCCAATGCAGATGAGAAGTTAGCTAGAGCCACTTGCACAGCTATGACAATGGAAGATATGAAGAAATCACTCATGAGATTGGCTGATTCCCAACTCAATAAGTCCAAAGCAGAAGGATCTGATAGTCTTCCTATTAAAGTGAAAGCAGAGCCATGCTATCTAGCTTTAGACGATGGACAACTTCCAACAGAAGCTTTTGAAAAAGAGGCAACAGACTCAAATGCTCTCCCAGAAGAGCAAGTAATGTTCAATAGGAACAGACCTGGAAACAATGTTAGAGGAAAACAAAGACCTTTTGACCAGAGAAATGACAACAGACAGGTTTGCTACGGGTGCTACTCTCCAGGACACTGGATCAGAGACTGCCCTCTTAGAGCTCCTTTCAGACAGCAAATGAACTTCCAAAGGCCGCCTTACCAACAACACACCATGCCTTATAACCAACGCTCAATGAGGTACATGCAACGCCCTAACAACCAACAACCAGGCTACAGACAAGGACCGCCCAACCCAGCCTATTACAACCAGCAGATTCCTTATTATCTATCAGACATGATTCCCAACAATGAAGAGTTTTACGGATATGACCAAGAATACTATGAAGAACCTACACCTACAGAGAAACCCATATTCTTCCAATCCAACGTCGGTCAAGAAGAAGAAGCTGTTTTTCTAGTTGGAGAAACTGTCAATAAAGCTTTGTTAGACTCAGGAGCAAGTAGAACAGTAGCCGGGGAAAACTGGTATTCATGCTTTCTAGATTCTCTAGATGATGAGACAAGAAGCACTGTTAAAGAATTCCCAGCAGAGCTAATCTTCAGATTTGGAGTAGGAACCCTAGAATCTTCTAAGAAAGTGATCATCCCAGTCACAATTTGTACCCACGAAATTTGGCTTGAAGTACATATCGTTAACAGTGACATACCTCTTCTATTATCTTTAATGTCAATGAAGAACATGGGAGTACACCTTAATTTCGAGACAGACACCGTTACTATCCGTGGAGAAGATTACAAGCTAGAGTTGACTGAATCAGGTCACTATGTGATCCCAATCAAGGAACAAAACGTGAAATTTGAGTCAATATTGATAGCTGAAGAAAGGTCCCAAGAGATAAACTTGAAAAAGCAAGCAAACAAACTGCATAAACGATTTGCCCATGCCCCCATTGACAGAATAGTCAAGCTACTAAAAAACGCTGGAGTAGAGGCTGGCAAGCTAGAAGCCCTAGAAGAGAACCTAAAGAATCTTGAAAAAACTTGTGAGTTTTGCCTCACACACAAGAGAGCACATCCCAGACCCAAAGTCTCTCTACCCATGGCTAACTCTTTCAACGAACTGGTAGCTATAGATCTGAAACTGATTGAAGGGAAATGGATCCTCCATGCTATTGACTACCTTACAAGATTCTCAAGCGCTGCAGTACTGGAAAACAAGACCAGTGATGAAGTAATTGATAAATTCTTCACGATTTGGATTTCTATGTTCGGACCTCCCCAAAGAATTCTCAGTGACAATGGAGGCGAATTTGTAAGCTATGCATTTGAATCTTTATGTGAAAGCTTTGATATTAAACAAATGACAACAGCCGCAGAGGCGCCATTCTCTAACAGCGTTTGTGAGAGACATAACAGCCTCATTGGAGATATGACAGAGAAGGTATTCTATGATGTAAAATGCCCTCTCAATGTGGCACTTATGTGGGCAGTACATGCCAAGAACACCCTTATCAACATACATGGCTTCAGCCCTTATCAACTAGTGTTTGGCACTAACCCTAACATTCCAGGTGTAACCTCCAGCAATCTTCCTGCTCTTGAAGGGACAACACCTAGCCAGATTGTAGCAAATCATTTGAACAGCTTACACAAGGCCAGAGAAGCTTATGTCAAAGTGGAAAACAGCGACAGGTTAAGAAGAGCACTAATAGGACGGGTTTACGAAGGAACCCACCAAAGATTCTTACCTGGAGACACTGTATATTTCAAAAGAACAAACACTAAAGAATGGCATGGTCCAGCGAAAGTCATCGGACAAGACGGTACAAGCGTTCTTGTGAAAAATGGTGGATTACTGGTTAAAGTTCACCCATGTAAGATGGTTCTAAAACAAGAAGCAGATGAACAGATGAATAGAAAAGAAAGATCTCAATCCAGAGCTCAAAAAACAAACTCTGATCATACTTCTACTCAAAAAGACTTTAACACTCCAAATCTCGATCCTGAAGAGATAAGTGCTCAAGTAATACCTGAGATCCAAACCATTACTAGAACGACAGATCAAGAAGAACCACAGGAACCAACAAACAACCTACCTGGTGAAACTTCAGAGCCTACAATAGTTGAAGTTGAAAACACTCCAGAACCAACTATAGAGACAACTCCCAAAGAAGTGGAACAAACAAAGCAACCTCCAAAGGCAAGGAAACCTATGAAGAACAATCAAGGCTTGATAACTGCAGTAAGTGAAGGAGACACAGTAGTATTCCAAGAACCTGGTTCTGACACATGGCACAAAGTTCAGCTTACGTCTAGAGGATACACTGTCAACAGTATTAACAAGAACTACTGGAATGTCATGTCAGAGGATGGAATATTTGTTTAAATTTTACAAATTGCATGATATTTTGGCCTTTGGGATACGTGTACTTCTAAGTTGTATAATGCCTTGTAAAGTACATTTTAAAAGTTACTTAGTATTAGTAATACTTTTGAAACTTTCAACAACTTTTATACGTATGTATGTATGTTTTTAAAAATACATGATACAAATTTTATTGTTTTTATTCAGCATCGCTTGTTTCATTGAATTGGATTTAGGCAAGTATTGGTAAGGAAGTGAACCGATGCGGCGTAGCAAAGCCTGACGCAACACTCCTTTCTTTTCATCCTGTGGCTCTTACTGTCTCCCACTCTTGCTCTTTTGGTCTCTTGCGCTGCGCTCTTGCTTTCTCACACTCTTGCAGTCCCGTCCGGTATCGTACTCTTCTCTCGTGCTCATAGCTTCATAGTGCGTATTAGATTATTATTATACTGAGTGCACAGTTTTAACAAGAATTGCGCCCGTTGTTTCGTTTTGGCGGACGCTAGATTTCCATTCACTATAACTATAAATATAAGCTCTAATCAGCTCAATTCATAATAATAATATACACAGAGTACATTATACTACGCATGCCATGTACAAATTGGGCTTATTACCTAATACTGTACATAACATAGCATACATTAAAATACACTCGCGCCGCGCATTCATTGACATGCTAGCTATATATACATTAAATATCCGCAAGCAATACTCGCGCGCTGCACTGCGCGCTAGTTGTCATGGTAACTAACGGAAGGAAGGAAGGACTGACGACATATTTATACCCACTTAAATTACCTCGTTATGAGAGCTCCAGAGTATTATTTTCGTCAATTTGATACCGAAATTATTGGGCAAACTGACATAATCCGACATACCCTGACATATCTCGACACGTCGGGACATGTCGGGGTCTGTCGGGGTTTGTCGGAATATGTCGGGGTCTGTCGGGGTTTGTCGGGGTTTGTCAGGATATGTCAGGGTTTGTCGGGGTGCGTCGGGGTGCGTCGGGGTTTGTCGGGGTTTGTCGAGCCTGGAGGCTACATGATGCCTGGGAGGATAAAAGTACTTTCATACACACCAGCATGCTCATTGATGGCTTAAAATGAAGCTAAGACATACTCCTATCAGATCCACCATAAGTTAGATACCATAATAATCATTAAATGTGTCTAAAATGAGGAAGCTTTGACAAGTGCGAGTGGTTTTGGCAAATTTTGGTATAAAATGGGCCCTGAGATCATATTTTTCTCATTAAAATCACATATATCACGAATATTTATGTGTGTTGGGTGTATCCTCATTGGTATCAACCATTTCAATCATCTAGAGCAGCTTTCCTGATTCTTTATCTCATGAAAATGGGCAAAAAAGCTCATAAATAGTCCAAAATCGGTCATTTTCGCCGCTTTAATAACCTCATTCCTGGCACCCAGAACACTTTGGGTACTCAAAACATGATTTTTCGGATACCTCAGACCCCTAACTAGCACATGGAGCCAGAAAGAACAGCATGTAGGGACTTCTAAATTTCCATGGTTGAGAACCCAATGTCACACTATTCGTTCATTAATCCTGCTTTCACTGGAAAGAAAGTATTGCTTTAAAAAATCATGAAAAACACACACACATTCTAAAAGATTTGCGGTTTAGGCACAAATCTTTAGGAACTGATGTATACAACAATATTTCCCCCAAAAAACATATCCCCAGGAAGTTTATTATCATTGCATATAATCAGATGGTAAGTAATATACTGTCGATAATTGAAAATAAAACAAAAGAGGAACTTGGGACCACAGTCCATCTAATTGTGAAAGCTTCTATGAAGGTAATTCTAAAACTTTACATCTTGAATTGAAATAACATTAATAAGTTATTTGATGTGTTAAACTAAACAATTGTGTAATGCAACGTTATGTACTACGCTGTTGAATTATCCAACCTGAAAGTACCTAAAGGCTGCAAATATAACCAATTGTCCAGCTAAATCACGGTGTTTGTTTCCTCCAAAACCCAAATTTAGTAAAGGAAAGAATTAAATTTGGGTTTTATTTGCATATAAGTGATATCATAAATAAATATAGAAGGCCTCGGTGACGGGCAGCTTCAGTTTGCATGCACCCTAGCGGGGGCACATCCAGGTCCCACACAACAGACTGCGCCGAACCGCCAGCTAAACTCAGGACCGGGTTGCCGAACAGCTTTTCCGGACCCCTCCTGACTGACAGTACCGGCGCAGCGGCCCCGCGAGCCGGGCGCAAGCTGCAGGTGCATATCAATGGTGATGTGATAATTTCAGCCATTCTTCTAGCGATTTTTAATTACTATTTGTAAGCAGTTGCGGTATCGCACTATTAGCAAAATGTAACCTGTATGTTGCCTCTGATTAAAATCGGAACGATGTAGTTCAATTGCTGTAAATAAGTTCATTAGTTGGTAATAGAGAGAAGTTATAAAACAAGTAAGCATGAACACAACACGTAGAAATATTAGAGTCTGTATAGCTATAAGACAAATGATAACTAGTCTACACGCAGAAATATCAGAGTCTGTATAGCTATAAGACAAATGATAACTAGTCTACACGCAGAAATATCAGAGTCTGTATAGCTATAAGACAAATGATAACTAGTCTACACGCAGAAATATCAGAGTCTGTATAGCTATAAGACAAATGATAACTAGTCTACACCACGTTGGAGCTGACTCTAGTTGCAGTGTTCGTGAAATTGTACAACTTTAATGTTGTTATGTTGACGTTAGTAACGTTAGTCATCGCACGTTACGTGATTAATATGTCTAGTCAGTATTCGTGAAATTGTATTAAAGTACCATCCGGAGTGCAAATACCATTAACATAATATCCATCAAAGTTAGCACAATTGTTGCTGGGCTTTAACAGAAATTACAATGCTAAATAAAATCCTTTCACGAATTGTATTGTTGTTATGCTCACTAGACATTCATCGAACTTAAAATAGTCAGTGAATAACCTTTCAGGAAATATGATGTAATTGCAGTCACACAGTTAGATCAGATATATCCCTCTATTAAAACGGATATTTGAAAAATGAGCGATTTCAAGATCTGACAAAGAGATTTTTTTGAGTTTTTCGTTCAATAATTTCCATGGGATTGAGGGTGGTATGAAGAGGTTGTGTCTGATTACCAGGATGTTATTAGTGGAAGAGAGCTAGAAATAGGAGACAGATGTAGATCTGGTTAGGAGGTGCCGCCAGTACTACCAAGAGAATTAAATATACCATTTACATTATAATATCAATTTAATTTCAGATGCTGTACATGTTTATACTCAACAGGTATTAGTAAAAACCTGCGGCGTTCGTTTCTTTTTGTATGTGTGTCTATTTTATAGATTATATTTTGCTTATCGAATTGTATGTATTATTTTTAGAACTTTAAAAATCTTAAAGATACCTACCTATACAGTATACTCTTGAATCAACTTGATGTAATGAACAGGAGTTACGTTCAAAGCTAGCTTACAATTATTATATATTATTATATATAATATGCATACATTAAAATGGGTGGGCGACAATTGACCCCCCGACAATTGACCCCCCGACAATTGACCCCCGACAATTGACCCCCCGACAATTGACCCCCGGCTGACCCTGACCCTGACCCTGACCCTGACCCTGACCCTGACCCTGACCCTGACCCTGACCCTGACCCTGACCCTGACCCTGACCCTGACCCTGACCCTGACCCTGACCCTGACCCTGACCCTGACCCAGGACATTAACCCTAAACCTAACCCTAACCCTAACCATAACCCTAACCCTAACCCTAACCCTAACCCTAACCCTAACCCTAACCCTAACACTAACCCTAACCCTAACACTAACCCTAACCCTAACCCTAACCCTAACCCTGATCCAGGACCCTAACCTTAACCCTAACCCTAACCCTGACCCAAGACCCTGACCCAGGATCCTGATCCAGGACCCTCATGACCCTAACCCGATCAATTGACCCCAGTGTAATTACATGGGGGGTCAATTGTCGGGGGTCAATTGTCGTACTCAGCCCTAAATTTCGCGACAATTGACCCCAGTGTAATTACATAGGGGTCAATTGTCGGGGGGTCAATTGTCGGGGGGTCAATTGTCGGGGGGTAAATTGTCGGGGGGTCAATTGTCGCGGTACCATTAAAACTCTGACTGAGATCAAACTAATTTATTTTCTATCTAATCAGGAAAACCATGGCTACATTTCATCTTTAGTGTTTTGAAGATGACACGGTATTCGGCAAGATCTCAGTTTATCCAACACTCTTTGTCAGTTTTGACCTCTCATCAGTCAACTCCACAAGAAAAGCAAGACACCTTGCCCACAGACCATCCATTTTACTCCCAATACAACCGATTGAAAATGAACAATTTGCTCCGTTCGAAGATCAAAGTACCTGTGTTAAGTAAAGTTAGTAAAGATCAGCTTGATGGTGAGTCTCAGAGAGAGTTTGAAAGATTTGTCAGATACAGAGTGGGCTGTAACAACAAACTTATCAAAATTGCCAAGATTTCGTGACGAACGTTTGATTTTGAAGGGTTTCCAATTAGTAATAATCCTGGATGAAGATCGCATGTATACTACTTACTTTAGGTTACTTTAGTATTAATACTCCAAGTTATTTTGAATTCTAAGCATGGCCTTATGGGAGACTTGGTACATCGAGCTTCGAATTTATTTATCATTTATAAATATACAATATACATCTATCATGTTATACTTAGTTCTTATTCAATAATGTTCGATAGTATGTCTGAAGCTGAGTTATGTATCAATTTGTATATATTATAATGTATTATATGTATTTTGTAAATAAAAATACAGTATGGAATGGAATCTTGAACGTTGTATTAAACATATATGTATTCTCTAATTCTCTAATTCTCTATGCTCTACAGTATTTATTAAACAATGTTTCACTTTATTTAAAATCATCGAAAAGAGTACTCTTTTTGTTGGAATCATAACACAATCGTCGACAATCGACATCAGAAATTTGACGGCACGTAACGCGTCACGTAATCGATTACGAGTTGGAGTATTCGTTCAAGCTGTCATGTTCGGCACTTTCTTAGTACGTGATTCGGTCGTCGTTCTAGCTAGACGGCACGTAATGGGTTACTTCATCTTAAAGTCTTAAATATTTATCCGAACTGACCAATACTT